ACTGTTGAGTCTTTTCGTGGAGGCAGCGAGCAATATGCTTTGCCCGCAGTCTCAGCTTACCTCCCGCATCTTCCCAGATGGCCAAAGCCTGAACCACTCCCAAACCAGCTGCCAAACACGCTGTCTTCCCCCAAATGGCTTTCAGATGCAATTATGTGTTGTCAATACAAAATCTGTGGTGTGCTGAAAACTCAGAGCCAGCTGAACATAAATGACATTTTAATATCAAAATAAATAACAGAGAAGTGACTGGGGCTGAGTGTGCTTTATTCACGGTCACAGCTAAATCACTGAAAACCTCCCTGTCTTTTAAAGCCTGAATAAAACTGACATGGACTTTCCAGGCTGCTGCAACCCAGCGTAGCAGGACTGAGAGATCCTGCTACTGAGTTTAGGCAGAGCTTGGGGCTTTGGTGTAAACCAGGATGCGTGCGTGTCCCCATGTTTGACGGGCTCCCATCTATGCATGTATCCATAAGAGAGTCATGTGAATTTAAGTAGCAGTGCCTAGCTGGGACTTTCTGAGGGCTGCCAAATTGCAGCTGCCTGGATGTTTGCAGCTGGGGGCTGCTTGCAGGAAAAAGAGAGTGAGAGGAAACAGGCAAATGAGAAAAAAGGTGGGTTGTTTTCCTTCCTGCCTGCTGACCGACAGATAAGGGCCTTCCCTAAAAGAGCGTGAGAACTGTGATTAAGTTTAGCCCACAACACACTGTCTGAAGAAGAGACTCTTCCATGGGGAAAGCAGGGGCTGGAGCAGAGGTGAGCCCTCAGGCTCGGCTTTTTTTTTACTGGAAATCAGGTTTGGGAGCAGGAAGCGATCATGCAAAGGATCCGCTGGCCCTCATTTTGGATGACTCACGAGAGTCTTTGTGAGCACTGAGCCGTGGAGGGACCACGAATATGACCTACCTGTAGTGCCAACTTCAGCTGGAGCCACGTTACCAGAGATGCTCTCTCTGCCCAGGATGCAGTGATGTGGGGTGGAGGGATGGTGTTAGGCATTGACCAGCACCCTTGCATCATTTTAAGTGGGACATGCAAATACAGCCTTTTTCTAGAGGACTTTCCATCCAATTACATGGGCTTTCCCAGAGAGGTATCCCACTTGCTGTAGGAGTTGTGCCTTCTCTATCTCATGCAGTTTGTTCTGCTCTGATGGTAGAGTGGCTGCTGGACAGGACCCAGTCATTTGTTTATTTTGTTGCTGCTGGAAACCATTGTCCTTCTCTGTTACAGGTCTGGATGGATGCAGGCACTCAGATCTTATTCTCTTATGCCATTTGTCAGGGATGCCTGACAGCTCTGGGCAGCTACAACAAATACACCAACAACTGTTACAGGTAAGAGGAGCCAGGACATTTCACACCTTTACAGAAATTTGCTCAGAGGCAAACAGCACAGAGCTACATCTGAGGCAGGCACCGTCTCCAGGGGAAGCCTTTGGTCATGCTGTTTTGTATAATAACCTGCTTCTAGTTTCCAAGCTGCAGAGGACTCAGCATAGGTATGCAGGGTCACCAAGGTAACACTGGAGTTCCAGAAAATGATATTAATAATGCTCTCTTGCGTGAGTCAGCTTGGAAATGGGAGAACAGCAGTGTGGAGACACCACCGGCTACTGTGGGGTGTGTGGGGGGCAAACAAGGGTGGCACAGCCAGCTCTGCTTTCACTCAGTTGTGCAGCAGGGAATGGTGTAAAGATAATAGCGATCAGGCCTTGCCCCAATGCTTTCCTAAAATCAGGGTAACTCGCCCATGATATTTTGATCCTATCAAGGAGATTAATCAAGTCTGTCTGGCCTGGCCTGCCTTACTCTTTTCCCTCCTTGTCCTTAGATTACAGATCCATTTTTTTCCATGGCCTGACATAAAGCTCCGTGAAGTAAGTCATCAGGACCATTGCTGCTAACTACTACAGATTGCTAAAAAGCAGGGGCTTCGTTATTCTTTTATGTATTACTCCAGCAAGGCTAGAAGCACTGAATGGTGCTTCAGCGTCAAGAATCATTTCTCCTTTTCCTCTGTTCATAAACGGGTGCTGCCATGGCTGCTGGTCAGGCAATTAATACTTTTCCATGGCTTTCCTGAAATGTATCTGTCACCAATGGGCTGATGTGCTGAAGCCTTCATCTAATACTTTAGGTACCTCTGACCACCAGCTGGGTCCTCCAGCGCAAACATGCTGGGTGTCCACACTGCCCGAAGCAGCGCATGCTGTGGGCGTGCTGTGGGCTGCGTCTGGCCGCCTGGCTGCCTGGGCAGGAACCGCAGGGGTGGGATCTCTAGCCCAGCCAGCTCGGACTGGTGCCCTAATTGCACAAGTGCGCAAATGTTTCAAGCCAAGTGCCATAGCACTCTCAAGCCTCCATGCGAGCCTAGTTAATTAGGACAGTGTAGACCCAGCCCTTGCCAGGTGACACTTTTTGTTAATCCATTAGTACTTGATTTAACAGACCTGCTGGATCTGTACACTTTAATGATTTCAAATGCTCGTTCTTGACCATGTTTACTTTCGCAACCTCTCCCTTATTTTTTGATTTGCTATTTCCCTCGTTTTCTCTGCTGTTTTTCTCTTTCCCCTGACTCCCCTCAGCGCTTTCGTTGCCATGTCCCTGTGAATATTATTGTGGTGTCCTGATCGCAAGCCATTGGTGGTGTTCTCTGTCCCTTTTTGGGCCCTCTGTTTTGTTTTGAACTATTGACTTCAGAAGGAATTCAAGAGCAGTATTGACATTCCTCAACCCCTGTTGTCTGATTCAGGAAGCTGAGTACAGAAGTGATCCAAAGTGGGCTCATTCTGCTCTCTCTCTGATCTCATCCCCTTCCAGGGACTGCATCATGCTGTGTTTCCTGAACAGCGCCACCAGCTTTGTTGCTGGCTTTGCCATTTTCTCTGTGCTGGGCTTCATGGCTCAAAAGCAGGGTGTACCCATTACAGAAGTGGCTGAGTCAGGTAAGTTTTTTCAGGACACTTCAGGGCCAAAGCACAATAGCAAGCCTGAAGTGGAGGGGACTTTTTATGAACTGGACTATGAAGTAAAGCCCATGATGTTGTCTACATCTTCTATCGCTGTGGACGCCTGCAGCCAGGTCTGTAGGATCTGTGCTCTCAGACATGGCTTTCAGCCAGAGCCATTCCCACCTTCCCTGCTATCATGATCTCTCCATGCTCTGGTGACCCAACCACTGCTTTTGTTCCCGAAAATCTCAGTGCTCCTGCCATTGCTTACCGCTCTGCCAGGTCAGCAGTCAGCATCTCATGTCTCTCTGCATGGTATGTTTTAGGGCAGGAAGCCATGGCAAGATGGGTTTTAATGAAGGACATTAAATCACTCTCCGAGTTGCTGGGTGGTGGTGGCAGGCAGTGATGTAGGGGGAACTCTTGGTCATGCTGCAATCTGTTGGCAGGTCCTGGCCTAGCTTTCATAGCATATCCGACAGCAGTAACAATGATGCCTGCGTCTCAGCTCTGGTCCTGCCTCTTCTTCCTCATGTTGATCTTCTTGGGACTGGACAGTCAGGTACAGCAAACACTCCCTCCCTGTCTAGCTCCAAGGTGCCTGTCCCCTCCCTGAGCATCTCCTGAAGCCCCATGGAGAGGAGAGGGTGGTTACGTGCTTTGCTGATACCTCCAATACTTTCCCGACATTGTCCACCGCACTGTCCCGGTGCGGGTGCTCAGAGCCTGGGCCTTGGGTCAATGTGGTGGGACCACTGTTTGACATCCTTCTCCACACACGTCTGTGAGGGTGTCCCAGCTGTATTGCCTCCCACCTCTGTGCCAGCACCGAAACCTTGTGCACTGTGGGGTGAGACCTGAGATGGGGCAGAGGCCCTCTAGGAAGGAAGCAGTCCTCCCTGGCATGGTGATGCTGTCCTCCCGCTGGCTGTGCCCCCCGCCAGGGCAATCTCCAGCATGCTCTGCTCAGCTGCGTGCCCTTCTCTTCCCTGTCTGTACCCCCATTACACCAAGAGCCAAACCGAGCAGAGCAGCTCTGGCATGAGGGCAAAGGAGTGTCTCCCATATGCTTGCCAGGTGGGTGGTCTGCTCCAGGTTCTGCTCTGCAGCACCTCAGCCTCTCATCCTGTAAAACCAGTTGCTAGTCTCCATTTCTCTTTTGGCCCCAGGATCAAGGTCCCCTGCTGTCTTGTCTTGCTGATGGCTCTGCTTTGAGCTGGCTCCCAGCAGCGGCAGACGTTCTTCGATTTACCCTTGTGGGTGCTGGGCCCTGGAGGGCCAGCAATCATGTAGTGATAAGCAGGCATGCTTTACTTCAAACTGCCCCATGGTCAGCTGCCAAAAGCCAGCATGGTTCTGGTGGCTCCCAGTCCACCCTCTCTACTTGGGTTGTTGCAGGCATTCATGGCGTAGTTTGCAACCAGTCTGCTGTACCAGAGTGTGCTTGATTTCAGGGCTGAGGTATGCCCTCACAGGCACCTGGCTTCGTTTAATTTCCTGGTAGCAGGGGATCTCCTCTTTGTCACAACAGATTCTTGTGCCTTCTCAAACGTTTTCTCACCATGCTCGATGGGTGCAGTCCATAACTTGCCTCTGCATGTCCTGTATGTTCTTTCTGTGCAACAACATACTCCGTTGAGTCTGAAGCAATTCATCATGCATCTCACGGCTCCTTTCCTCCAGATGTGACTGTATTTTAACCCTTCTAGCTTGCAACTCCAGAAGTGACCTCATTGATACTGAGCTGCATTTGGGTCCCCAGTGGTTGCAGCTGCCCTTTGGTGGAAGTGAGACAGATGAAAGGAGAAAACAGCATGGGCAGAGCAGCACGTACAACTGTGCCGCTCCTCCTGTGTTGGAGTCTCCTTTCTCAGTCTTGTTTCTTGCTGTTTCTTTGTCAGGCTGGCATCATGAAAAAAAGAGGGGATTGGGTGGCTGAAGGAAAAAATGACAGTGAGAGCGTGTGTGTTTGGGGTGCCACTGGGTTTTCTGACCTGACTTCTTCTGCAGTTTGTCTGTGTGGAAAGCATGGTGACAGCTATTATTGACATGTTTCCGGAAGTGTTTCGGAAGAAAGGGCGTCGAGAGCTGCTGATCCTGGCCATCGCAGTTATATGCTACCTGCTGGGCTTATTGCTGGTCACTGAGGTAAGGAAGGAATAGCTGTGGTGCAGCAGAGCACTAGAAACCCTGGAGGATTGTTCTGGAAGAATGTTTAGAAACGGTAAGCTTGTCTTTGTTGCTGTTAGTTATCCTTCATTTCTAATGTATTAGCTGGTGTCTCTCACGACCAGTGCTGCTTTTACCCTGCATGATGCTAGTGTGCATGCTATAAAGCCACATAACTGAACCTTCCACAGGGATGACTGGTCTCACACCCACGAGAGGCCACGTGACATGCAGTTTTTTCTAAATACCAAGCCTGATGGTTACAACAAGCTGAGCTGCATACGTAGAAGCTCTCGTAAAGGCAGTGATTGTTTGCTGGCTACTCTCCACAAGAGGCCAGGCTGAGGGAGGGAAGGCCGGGGATGATGGGTGCACCTTAACCTTGCCTGAGTTAGTAGAAGGAGGTCTCTGGGCATGTTCACTCAAAGCAGTGAAGGGTGGTGCAGGGAAGGTGGCCGGGATGACGAGTGATCCCCAGGAGCAGAAGCAGCCAAGGTGCGTCAGTACAGTGCTATGCACGTGGGGTTTGCTCCACGGCAGCCAAATACCTCTGCCTGCACGATGGTGTGCAGGCCGTATGTGTATCACGTGCCTGGGCTGGGGTCCTAGCGCTCCTCTGCGTTGCCTCCATGCACTCTGTGGCGACAACTAATTCCTGCTAAACCTCTTAGCCACTTCTGAATGATACTCCAGCAAGATCCAGGCTAAGAATTTGTTTCACTTCCCACTGAGATGAAGAGAGCTTTGACTGTGTGAGAGTAAATTAAAGGTTTCCATGGCTTTTTTATGCTGCCTTGCATGGAAGCATCTATTCCCATCACTGTAGGACATCACCTCAGTATGTGGTGGGATGAAGGGGTAACTGCTCTCTTATTCTGCCAATGTTTAGTCCTTGAGTACTGCTGGGAAGCATCTGCTTAACTTATGTTTGAGGGGCTTTCCTTTAGAGAAAACACATGAAAATATGAGAATAGGGATCAAATGAGCTGTAGTGGTAACTGATTACAATTAAGCAGGGGTCAACCCAAAGGTAGGGTCAGCAGGAGAGCCACATGCCTCTGCCACCGTGGAGCTTGGACCCTTTGCACATAAAGATGGATGCAGACTAAAATGAGGTATCTGAACATCCTGATTGTCATGCGCCTTGGGATCCCAGTTTTTTAGGTGAAAGATCAGCACAGCCACATGTTTTTTTGAAATGATACTCGAAACTTGCTACATGATTTAAAAAAAAAAAGAACACCCTGATTCCTGCTCTGGTGGACATAGAAAGCAGCCCACACCAGCAGTGTCATAAAATAGGTGTGAAACGCTCTGCTGGCCCTGGGTCTGACTGTCCTTTTGGGACAGCATGACTCCTAGTGTAGTCATCTCCAAGAGAAAGCTATTCTTCTTCTCCCATTTGGTTTAGGCACAGTCTTTCTGTTGCTATTCCTCTGCTCGTCTTAATTTTTTTTCCTCCCATATGGAATAGTCCTGCCATGAGTTCCTCTTCTCTAACTCTCCCACAGGGGGGGATGTACATCTTCCAGCTCTTTGATTATTATGCTGCCAGTGGTACCTGCATGCTCTTTCTGGCTGTTTTCGAAACCATCTGTGTAGGATGGGTGTATGGTAAGTGGAAGACAAAGACCTGTGTTGCTCCTTTTCAAGGGAAGGATTGGGGGTGGAAAAGAGGAGGTAGATGGAAAAGGCCCATCCACTCTACCTTAGAGGGCAAAGAAATGCTGCAAATACCCTCCTCTGTGGATGGAAAAGACCCAGCCTCTCCCTAATGGGGGGCATATAATTACCCTTCTTATTGTCTGGTATCCATTGTGTTTGCTCATGATGTTTCTTAACTGCTCCACATTTAGAGTATAAATGATTCTTCCCTCTCTGAAGCTCCCCCTTATTGCCTTATCTTGTTGCCCTTTCCATCCTGCCTTTTAATTAGAAAATAAGCTGGGGAGAAGTGACTGCAGTTCTTCAGTCTATACTGTTCCCTTAGTTTAGTCCTGTGTGTTCATTTAACATGAAAAGCCGGGATGCAGGCTTGCTATGTATTACTTCCCATTCTCATAGGCTGTGAGAGCAGTCCTAAGAGAAACAGGTGGAACTAATTTGGCTCTTGGTGGAGACTGGAACTAAACTACTGAACTGCTCAGAAGCAGGACTCAAACTGACCTCCATGAACTATCAGAGGATAAACCAAATGCTTACTGGAGAGTGTAGTAAGAAGAACATCCTGTGATATCCTATGGGAGATCTCTGGCATGCTGAACAGCACCTGAGCAAACAGACTGCAGTTCATCTTACTGAAGCATGCCTCGAGCCTGTGAGGTCCCAAGTCTCGTCCTGCATGAGGCAGGGCAGCCACTCTCTCCTTGGCCTCCTGGAGCCGCGGGAGCTCCATACATGTAAGGACTGTACAAAACTACAGTAGCTGCCAGATTAGATCAGACTGTCAAAGCACCCAGTACAGCTCCTGCTGGCTCCTAGCTATGCCAGGCAGTTCATCCATCATAACCTAGAAAAAAGACTGCAGATAAGAGCTCCATGCTGGGTTTCTTTCAATGGCCAGCAATGGCTGCTCAGGGAAGAGCACAAGAGTAGAGGAAGTCAGCAAAGATATATTCCCAGAATATTCTTCCAGCTGCCAGCAACTTGTGGCCTAGGGATTTCCAGAGCCAGAGGAAAGATCTTTGTATTTATTTCCCTCCTGTGAATTTGTCCAGCTGACTCGGATAAACACTTATCATCCACAAAATCCTGCAGCAAGCAGTTTCACAGCTTGTTTAGAGGCAGTGTGAGTAGCCACTTTTCTTGTGCTTGTTTTGAACCTGCCACCTACTAGTTTCATTTCATGTCACCTGTGTCTTGCATTAGAAGAGACAGTGAGCAATCAATCCCTGTATGCACTCTTTGCCACTTAAAGTTTTATAGAGGATGCAATAGCTGTAGCACAGCTGTGGATGAAGGCGTTATCGTGTTCTCCAAACACTTTATGTACATCAAGAACTAATTGCTAGCCTGGATGGCCTTCCCTCTTACTGAAAAGGGAGCAGATGCAGCCGCTTGGGAGTGACCTCCAGGGAATGCAACAGAAGCATCTTGTAAGAGCGATATATTCAGGAGAGGTCCTGAAAGAGAAGCTCCCCTGAGCGCTAGTGATGCCAGACGCAGGCCATATTGAAAATGAGAGTCTCCTTCTGTGCAGTTCCCGTGGGATTTCTAGGGAGATGGAGATCCCCTTCCCACTGTAACAGGGCTTCATCAGCACCACATTGGATTACGGTTAAACGTACAGAACATGCCCTGCCCTCGTTATGGTTGCACAGGCCTTGTTTCTTCCTCGCTGACTAGCAGAGATGAATAATGACAGAGAATTAACAGCAAGAGGGTTAATGCTGTCTTAACAGCCTGGGAGGCAGATGGAGCAACTGGGGGCTGAGAAATGAGTCATCACCTCACCACTCGGTGTTCATTTGCCCCACTCTACACAGTGGGATTTTGCCCTCTTGATATTCTGCCTTTCATTTACTGGCCTGATGCTGGGCTGAAACATAGTCAGCAGGCCTAGGAGGGGTATTTTAGTGAAAAAAATATCCCTGGTGCAACCTGATGGGTTTTCTCCAGCCTCAGAATTGGCAGGACTGAGCCTCTTGCTTACACTGTGAAGAATTATAGCGTTTTTGCTAACACAAATATGCATTCCGAGTCTCCCCTCTCCCAGCACATACGGCAACCGCCCACTCCTTGGCAGCTTCCTTCTGCCCGCCAGGCAGCTGCTGTTACAAAGATCTGAGGATTTCCTCACGTACTGCTCTCCTCCAGCGAAAGGATCATGTGGCATCAAACCTGCCGATCACATTTGCCAGAGGGAAGTGCTGGAGGTTTTTTGCTTTTTCCCTTTCCTCTATCCCTTCTGCCTGGGAAGACCCAGCCCTCACTTTAGCAGGTACACTTTCTGAGCACTGGGATCTGCAGCACGATGCCACCGAAACGTGCTGCAGGAAGGATGTTTTCCAGGCAGTCACAGCATGCACATTAGGATAAGCTGTTCCAGAAGAAAGCTGTTTTCCCCAGCACTGCAGGAAGGCTGAGGCAGAAGTCATTAGGCCTGTATACAAAGCTGGAGCAAACTGATGCCAGCAGGTACCAGTGGGTGGCCCTAGGGTGAATCATGCTGAGTTGGTATAAATCTTTCTCTCATACTCACATACAGAGTAGCTACCAGGAGCTGTGATCTCCATATACAAACTGGATCCTCACAGTCAAGCTTGCACAAGCTGTGTGTGCTTTATCCTTTCTGATGCAGCTACTACAGGTGATCTCACACCCTTATTTAGGGATCATAAGGGGCCCATTCTGTGCACCTGGTACCCAAAGGATGCACAGTTGTTGCAATGCCATAATCCCTCTGCTGGCAGCATTTTACATAGGTTTGGCACAGGTGTTGGTGCTGCATATTTGGCACAGTGAGGGAGCAGATACAGGCTTAGCACTAAGGCAAAGAGCCAAGGTCATTACCTATTGAAATCCTGTGGATGAATTTCAGTATAGATGAATGCAAATAACTGCAGTTTGGGAGGAATCATTTGAAAGGCAGAGGCTTTTAGGTTCCAAATTGACAGTTCAGACAGATTATATTGAGAAGTATTTCCTCCGGTGTATACTTGATCTGAGAAACTTGCTGTTGCTGGATAGTGTTTACCAAAAAGAAGAAGAAGAAGAAGAAGAAATGTCTTGGTCCCTTTTAGCTTGGATAACACTTGCAGTTGTTATGTTATAAGCTGCCTAGAATAAGAAGGGCTTGTAAGGACAAGACATCAGGACGTAAGCATATCTCTAGCTGAGTTAGTGCAAAATTTATTCCCATTAGTCTATGATGCAAAATTCAGTGATTTACCAGAGAAGGATGTGACGCCTTTGACAGTGTATGGGATTAGTCAGCACAAGAGAAGTGATATTAGCATTCATGGATAACTGCCCTATGCCGTTATAGCAACTTCTGTGTCTTGGGATACCCTAGATGACAGCAAACATCTTTATTCATTTCAACAGCAGTCTTTTTGCAGAGGTCTTTAGGGCATTCCCTGCAGTAGCTTTATCTAATCCTTCTAATGTTGTGCTGGAAAGCAAAGGGGAATGCACGAATCTTCTGGCTTCTAATTTGCTCAAAAAGACAATGTTGACTGATTGAACTGATGACTTCTTAAGCTTGATTACTTTTTCATCTGCCTGTGAAATGTAGAACATATAAAAACCTCCTGTTTGTGTACTCTTTGAGTCCATTCATGTCAGGTCCCATTGTGTTTCACTACATCATCTGCTGCCTACAACCCTGGTGATGGAACCACAGGATATGGTGGTTACACTGCAGCAAGCAAGGATAAGGACAGATGGAGGCTACTGCACACTATAACTAATAATACATGATTTGTTTTTGATTTTGTTTTTTTTTGGTGCAGGATGGGTGTCTGCTGTGTCCCCCTTCTTGTTTGGTCTCTTTATATTTTTCTTTAACTGTTATGTTTCTTCCACTAGATCCTAAATCCAAAATTTCTGATGTTTAACTTCAACAGCATTGCATTGTGAATTAATTTATCCATCATCTATTTAATATCACAGTGTCTTTCTCTGGAAACACTGTGCAGTATAACAGACCTTGGAACGCTCATATTCTAAACTACAAGTCATATAATTTATACCTCTCCCTCTTTTTTTTGTCTACCTGTGGAAGATTTTGGCTTTTTGGCAAAAAAAAAAAAAAATTGTTTATACCATCCCTCTTTATCACCAATGTATTTTCAGAAATTTTATCTGAGGCCTCATGGGATTTACAGCTTGGTAGTTTTAGGATTTTGTTCTCTGATATAGGCTGGGCTCTCTTACAAGATTGTATTTTCCTTGATATGCCACCGCTTGTATTTCCTGAAGGCTACTTGTTCACTTGTAGACTCAAGATGGAAACTGTGAGGCATTCAAGGAATCTGTCTTCCCAAACCTAAATATGTCAAAAAGTGGTTTTAAAAGAGCTTTCCTGCAGATGTTAGACATGAGAGCCAGCAAATAATGCAAATAATTACCAAAAAGAAAGGCAAAGATAGTATACTTTTATAGAATTCACACATTTAAAGCAAACATAATACTGGGACTTAATTCTAAAATGTAAAGACAGAAAACAAAACAAAATCCACTGAAGCCTAAGCGTTAGCAAGCGTGGCTAGTCTGGTAGGCTTATATTTGTCCAGCCATCAGATGTTAAGGGTCTCGTTACACCTGCAGGTGGGAACCTTGGCATGACCACGAGTTCAATGTCAGAAGAACACCCCCAAGGGCAGAGCCCTTCTTTGTCAGCTAAGCACTGTGACAAAACTATGATAAAGAAAACATGGCATTATTTGATACCAGAGGTGCTTA